AATTTAGACGGAAGTTCTTATATACACATATTATTATTATTATTATTACTATTATTGGTATAACATCACTTTTACTCCGCCGAATACACGGTACTTAGCACTTACTGCACCTTATTATTCCTTAATGATTTCATATAATTATGCTTAACATAGTCTTCAACCAAACACTTGATCGAGTTTGTAACTGAACTATAATTTCTTACAGCCTATTTGACCCATATTTATTCTGATCATTAATCTCATTTAACTTATAAGCTGATTCACGTTAACAGTATATATTAGCTATCTCAACATTATTAATTTTATCTTATTTAACAGTCCTGTATTCTTATATTTAGTTGAAATCATGAGTCAATTGAAGCTAGACCATCATGGAGAACTTAGAAGCACTGGAAGGTCGTTTCATCCTATTGTGGGACTCCTGTATTCACTTATAATAAATTTATATGATGTATTTTGCCTTAAACTTGGCTACTTTTTGAACTATAAATTTGGTTACATAATTGTAGAACCTGAAGGGAATGAATTGAAAAGAATACTTTTTAATCATATATTAGTGTCTTAATATGATAGAGATTTTTAATTAACTACAAATCATTATAAGGGCCGCATTCTAACAATTGAAAAACTTATGGAACTCAAAACAACTGTCAACCAATATCAAAGTCAGAAACTTTAATATGAACGTCAAGACAGTTAGTTCTGTTGTACGGAGCTGAAACTTAGTGAACTATCACAACCATCATCAAAGAGGTACAAGTATTTATAAACAGTTGTCTACTCAAAATACTCAACATTCACTGGCCGGATGCCATCAGCAACAGCCTACTGTGGGAGAGGACAAATCAATTTCCAGCTGAAGAGGAAATTAGGAAAAGACGTTGGAGGTGGATAGAATACACATTGAGGAAATCATCAAACTGCATCACGAGGCAATCCGTAACTTGGAATCCTGGAAGGAAACGAGAAAGCGGTAGACCGAAAAGCACACTAGATCGGAAATTGGATGCAGACATGAAAAGGATGGACAGCAACTTGAAAGAACTGGAACAGATTATCCAGGACAGTGTTAGCTGGAGAATGCTGGAGGGAGGCCTATACTCCTCTACGAGGGTTAACAGGTGTAGGTAAGTAAGTACAAATATTTATAGCATTAAACGAAGCTTAAAATTTCTTGACTAATCACTAAAATAAATTGTTTAATTTTACCAAAATCTTTTATTATATACGAAGTCAAATGCGAGTTTCACTAAGTTTAAAGTACTTAATTCAATTTGCTTTCTTGATTTAAAGAAAAACGGAAATGTGATTCTAATTTAGTTATATCTTTGTAAATTAGAATCAATGAACTCAGGTCATGTTCAGTTCATTTGAAAAAAACTTTATTTATTTTTCGGTTTTAATTGTGATTAAATGAAATCTTTTGAGTTGGATGTAATTTTTCCTTTCTTTATCTATATCTATGGTAACACACTAGTTAAGTTCTTTTTAACTCCCTATATCTATATATGTTTAATATTTTTTGATGGTTAATTAAATGAAAATGAAAAAAATTTATGTAACTGTAAAACTTTAATTATGTTAAAGTTTTCAAGATTTATATTAGAAGGGGTTTTGTGGATATTATCATAATTTCAATAGTTGAGATCATGAGTCAATTGATACCGACTCAGGGGTCTAGAGGGTTAAGCGCTCGGTCCTTGGTTCAAATATCGTGAGGTGGGATCGTGGATGCGTACTCCTGACGGGTCCCACACTAGAACGAAACGGCTGTCCAGTGCTTCCAGGTTTTCAATGGTGGTCTAGCTTCAATTGACTCGTGATTACAACTATAAAAATTACTATAATCTCCACAAACCCCCTTCCGAAAATAAAATGTTCCAAACAAATATATTTGAATGATTACATTAAAATGTGAATTCTTGTTTGAACATTTAAAAAATGATGAAACAAGAGAAGAAAAATTTCTCTTCAATTAGTTTTTAATTACATCTCCTATATTAGTATGGTTTAAATGAATGTTAGTCAAAATTTATAAAGACAGTTTGAAAGGGATAAGACATTAAGTATGTAGAAGACATTAATGTAAATATACTTTTTCAAAGTAATCTCATTGATTGAAATTTGAAGAGATTCAACGTTCCGTCTAGCGATGTAGTTTGAACATAATAATCACTTTGAATTATTTATATCTGATGATAAAAATTAAAATGTACAATAGTAATGATAGTAAAATAAATATCAATCAAATATTAATATTTTAAACAAAACTATTAACAAATCAAAGTGCTCGTTTAGATATAACTCAAACAATGAGGATGAAATTGTGTTAGAGACTCATTGATACTTACTGGTAGTGTGTTGTGTGCTACTGATGTCGACATATATAAATAGTATGTATCATGAATTGAAAATGCAATGTCTTATGGAAGAAGGTTAAGAAGATCAAAGAGAAGAGAACGAGAACAGAGGGTGATTGATGTGGAAACGTAGAAACAGTCAAGTCTGAGACAATTGATTAACAGTTTGCAAATGAAGTATTACTGTATGGTTTTCAGATTTTACCAAGATGTTCTGTTATGTTCTGTTATAATACGTTTCGTTCACTACTGAAGGACATTTTTACAGAGTTTCAAATAATGGTGCACTAAATTAGTGTCAATATAATTAGACTATAGTTCGCTTCAAGGGTAAAATTCATGCCACACTACAGTAAACAATATCAAGTTACGAATGTCCCTTTGTCGAAATCCAGATGTATGAGATATATTTGTGGGTAATTATTGGTGCAACGATACATAAATGCCTTGTTATTATTATTAACTGACTGAACCCTGTTGAGACATTCTAAGTACATCTAAATAGACAATAAAATGAATGAACTCGGTAAAATATTTAGCTGTAATAAAATTTAATGACTACTGAGTAATGATCAATGTTGTGTCTCTCCAATGTTGATGAAATTCTATTGATCCTATTTTAATGTGACTGCTAGTCTAATGAAAGCTAGTTTGAATCCACTGGGGATCATCATTTCCCTCAAGACTACAGCTACGCCATATTGATGAATGCTAAATATTACGGGAATTAGGTTCACGTTTTTCTCATCACCTAACATTACTCAGTAATAATGTTTGTGCATAATTTGAAAAAAGAATTGTATACATAAGATTTGTTTGTGAAGACATTTATGATAAACGATTAAGGTAACTTAAAGAAATGTTCATCTTGAAAAAAAAACTGGAAGGTTAGTGAACTCTTGGTGTTAAAAGTTAATGTCAGTCTCTATAGTTACATATTAAAAAGATGGATAACTTATAGGGAGTTGATTTACTTCTACGAGGTAAACAAATCATTTTTAGATGCTAATTCTACACTGAACATAAAGTTAAGTAAGATAAGACGTTTTATGATAGGTTTCATAAATAATCACCTTCCGTATCAATTATAAATAATTAACTTTAATATACTGATGGTTTGTATTGATTAATGAGTTTTTGAGGTTTTGATGAAATTCTATATTTATGTTTGTTCATTTTTCTCATTTTGTAAAACGAAAAATATATTCTTTTCGGTCAAGTTGTATCCGTCACATTGAACTGTTTATTTCTAAGATATCCAGTAAATTACCTCCCCCCCCCCAAAAAAAAGATGACTAAGTTACAGTTTAAAACTATAAACATACTTCATGACTGAATTATTTCTGTTAAGATTAGTTTTAGTAACAAAATCTAATGCTAGTATTTATTTGACGGTTTCATTGATCGAATGAAATCTTTGCATTATGACAAGCCTTTAAAAAGATATTGAAGCACAATGCGATCTAAGGTAATTGATTAACTAAGATAAAATTTTAATACAGAAAAGGTTTTCATTCAGTATTGACATATACTTTTTTAGTGGCGGACAATGTTATTGTGAAATGTGAATATACACGGATATGTTTCTGAATTTAGCATATATTTAAAGAGAGACATGTATTTAAAGTGCACTGTAATATAAATATAAAAACAAAAAAATTATTTTTATGATTATAAGCAACGATGGATGGTGGCTAGCAGTGAAATCCAGAACGCGTGTTTCGTCTCATTTAGAACTCGTCAGCATGATGTACATGCATCTCAAAGTTAAAATTCATTCTGGGACTCGAACCCAGTAACGTTTGCTTCAAACGTCATTGCACTATCCACTTATCTACTGAGCGCTGATAGCCGTTTGTTTGTGCAATGGGTGTACCTGGATCTCAGAGTTGATGTTCCGTCTGGGTACTAGCCACTATCCATCTTTGCCTATAATGCTCCTGAATTAAGGCAATATTGGGGCGATATGCATAGTATGCACATATGCCAACAAGAGACTAATCAATTGCAGTCCTAAAAATCAATCCGAAGATTCAAGTAAACAATACCAAGTGGATTCATTTCGAAAAATTCAGAAATAAAGGTGAGCAGTCAATTATGCTACCAGCTAATGAGCTCTAGAGCTTTAAAATTCACTGAATCTAAAATAATCAACCTGTTGTCATGTTAATAATATGTTCTTTCAAACTGTGCATAGGCTGTTAGAGATCTTAAACCGAATATAAGTTATTAGTTAGCCATATATCTTTATTGTTACAAGCAGAGCTTTAAATCACTGGAATATCAAGTCTTTTCAAATATTGTCTATCCATTCACTCTCTTAAATTTGACGATTTTGAGCAAAAATTTGAAAATCTATCTGAACGTTTCCTAGGCTTTCTGGATTATTCCTACAGTTTTGTTTCGCACCTTGACAAGGGATGTTTTGTTTTAGGAATAAAATATATAGTGAAGGGAAAGAAACTATTCAAAAAGAAAAGAACGTTTTGTAATTAGATTTTAAGCGGTTCACAACTTATTCTATATAATTAGTACCACTAAGAAGTAAACCAAACTTTCTTTTCCTATTTGTATTGAAATAGTCATTTGTGTTATCATCTCATTTACAGTTTCACTATCCTATTCACTTTTAAATTTCAGAAATATCACAAGTCAGTATGTCTCAGCAAACAATCTTAAAATGGGGAAAACACTTCAGACGGAACATGCAAAAGATCAGCAAGCATCATCTTCTTCCCCAACACCAATTCAACAGACAGTTAATGATACAGCAACTGTTACAAATTCTGGGCAACTAAGTAGATCAGGATTTTTACGTCATCCATTACGTAAAGCTATGACTTATGTGAAACCTCAATCGGAATCTTTTGTATCAGTTAAATCGGCCTCAAGAAGACTTCATCACACTTCAACTATCGAAAAACCAGATGATTCAAAATTCAGGTCTAGCAGTAAGAGTTCAAGTCGTAATTCACTTTATAGTAATATAAAACATTTCGATTTATCAACTAAGGTAAGAAAAAACAAATCTCAAAATAAAGAATGAACATGACTCACTTGACATTTGATTACACCATGTTGATTACTGCCTTATCATATTTAACTTATGGAATTTTTCATGGGGGAAAATCAAATTTCTGATTTTTCTCAACAATTCAGATGCTAAATATTCATTCTGTATTGGAGTTAAGGTTACTACGTTTCTCTTCTAGTGTATGTTGTGTTTCCACAATATTTAATACTTTTAGAATTTTAGCAACTAGTGTTTGTTTAGACAATTTAGGCTTCCCGTTTAGTAGTTACAATTAATTAATGAATAATTCCTAACTATCTAGGCATTCATTCAGACAAATAAAAATAATTAGAATATACTAGGGGCGACTGAAAGAAAAAACTCTAACATGATTTATCTATATACAGAAAGAGGTCCTCTTCCTAAATTTACTTTATTGGTCAATAACCTATTTTTCCAACCTAAAAAAATCTATTCCCATTTAAATAATATAATTTTTGAATTATGGCTCCAATTCTTCTTAAGATTAACAAATAAATTTGTTTGGACGATTGCCTAAAAGAGGGTGTTGTTTTAGATCAATCTTTTTAAGATGTCAAACAAAATCTCATGATGGCATTTCATTTAAATGTTTTGCTTTATAACATTAAATTAAATTTGAATGGTCGTATATTCCACAGTCTAAATCATCTGACGTCGTTTTATATAAGAAGCTGGAATATTGATTGATGTACCATTTCATGGAGCGTGTTAAGGTTTAGCAGTACTAATCAAATAGTAAATGCTAATGGTCATTTTGTGCAAGTTGTTTGACAGAAGTTAACAGCTACAAAATATTGGTTCGTTTTAACTTTTATGAAACCAAGATAGTTTATTAACAGTTAATAAACTTATGGTTCTTTACATCAGGTTTGTGAATAGTATGGAAATCATTGAAGTTTAAACAGCCAGAAAGGCTGTTTTAAGTATTCGCAACCCAATAACATGTAGATCTTTTAATCCAATTAACACGTCAAAAGCTTGAAATAATAAATTCATAAACGTTTCATAACTTGTACACAATGGTATCAAACATCTAATTTGCGATAATATTTAGAACCAGATGTATGAGAGTTTGGTTCACAATGCTTGTGAAATAAGGCTATATCGAAGCAATACACACAGTATGCACATATGCCAATTAGAGACTGACCAGTTGAAGTCCTAATCATCAATGGGAAGATTCAAACAAACAACACTAAGTGAATTTAAACTTCACCCGATTGCATAAGCAAGTGGCTATCAGAACTCAGTAGCTGAGTGGATCACACGATGGCGTCTAAAGCGAACGGTACTGGATTCGAGTCCCAAAGTGAACATCAACTCTGAGATGCACTTACATCCAGCTGAGCAGTCCCGAATAGGACGAAACGCGCGTCGTGGATTCCACCGCTAGCCCTTATCCATCTTTGCTTACAATTCATAATTTATTTATGTAAATTTTAATTCTATCAAACAAAATCTAATTTCCCCAGGTTTATTCTTTATTGAAAGTAAAGTACGTTAATTATTTCTTACTTTATTATTCACTTTTTTCCATACGACTTTTATTTACTTTTTTTTTAAAAAATTGAAGACATCTGTGTTAACGAATGAATGTTTACAAATGAATGATCATTCGAATCGATCAGTTATACAGGAAGTTTACACTGGGGACTCATACAATTCAACGATACCTAAACAAGTCATAAAAAATGATATTGAAAGAAAAACCAAACAAAAAGAGTAAGCAATTCTGTTGGTAACTTTTCAATCATAAATTTAAATTTCAGGTTATTAATATGAATCAATGTATATGACTTTGATATTGTAATTAAGATATTAAAGTCAAAACCATTTTTGATTGCTTATTTATACAAAGACTTTGTTGATAAGTAATTAGATATGTTTAATGAAAACAAACAAGCTTTAGTATTGTGTATACACCTAATTTATTTTATATATTATACTTAAAAAAGTGAATTTATAAAAAATAGTTATTAAATGTATATGGCCTAATTGAACATTTGGGCCTCTTCCTGATATCTAGATATTTCAAAAAGTTATCTAATTGGTAAGCAGAGATGGATAGTGCCTAGCAGTGGAATCCACAACGCGTGTTTCGTCCTACTTGGGACTCCTCAGCTGGATGTAAGTGCAACTCAGAGTTGATGTTCACTCTGGGACTCGAACCCAGTAGTGTTCGCTTCAAATGCCATCGCGTTATCCACTCGGCCACTGAGTGCTGATAGCCACTTGCTTGTGCAATGGGGCGAAGTTTAAATTCATTTAGTATTGTTTGTATGAATCTTCCCATTGATGATTAGGACTGCAACTGGTCAGTCTCTAATTGGCATATGTGCATACTGTGTGAACTGCCTCGATATAGTCTTAATTCACAAGCATTATAAGCAAAGATGGATAGTGGCTAGCAGTGGAATACAGGACGTGCGTGGATTACGCGTTGGCGTTTGAAGCGAGGGTACTGGGTTCGAGTCCCAGAGTGAACATCAACTCTGATATCCAAGTAAATCCAGCTGACGAGTCCCAAATAAAACGAGATGTGCGTCGTGGATTCTACTGCTAGCCACTATACATCTCTGCTTACTATGCTTGTGAATTGAGGCTATATCGAGGCAATACGCACAGTATGCACATATGCCAATCAGAGAATGACCAGTTGCAATCCTAGTATATCAATGGCAAGATTCAAACAAACAATACTAAATGAATTTAAGTTATCTAATTGTTTTAAAACATGATTGTAGCTATTAATCACATAACCTATTCAGGTGGGTTTCTGAAAAATGTACAACTTTTATTGTAAAAGTTACAAAAGTTCCAATCAAAGTTATCGTGGCTTCCGGCAATATGTATCGAAAAGAATGTACATTATTTAATTGTCGATTGACTGGACTGCTAACTAAATATTAATCGTCAGAATCGGGCAAGAAATAAGAGACGGAAACTTTGTGCTGAGAATTGTATATTGTACCAAAAATATGATAATGAATAAAGCTTATAATAATAAGTAATCAATGGTTTAGATTATGATAAACTGAGATATTAATCACTGAAATATTTGTATGGATTAAATTCATAATTTACTCCAACACTTAGTTTTTCATAGACTTAAATATATCTGCCTTACTGCCTAACATTTTAATGCATTTTTTTCTAGTTAGAAAGTTATTTTTCATTGTTATGAAAACTTGAAAATTACTTTAGCATAAACTACATGTTTTCACATGACCAAAACGATTTTTGGTTATTTATTCTTTGAAGAAGTGACTTACACGGAGTCACGAAACGTCAGAAAATCTAATTTTTCTACTCATATTACAAATGTATTATTTATTTAAAACGGTCTTCAGTTATTTATGTATACATTATAATACAAATGATAACATACTTAAATAAACGACTAGAATAAATAATTTTGACTATTGGATATTTTTAATTTTCAAACTCACATCTTCATAACAGATTGGAATAAGTTCTCAAATGGCCTAAAATGTTCTTGATAAATTTAATGTATTTTCTATTTTTAGAGGGGTTTTTGTGGAGATTTAAGTAATTTTATAGTTGAGTTCATTAGTCAACCAGGTTTCTTGCAAGATAATAATTCGCTGAAGACAATGGTGGACGGTTGCTTAATTTTGTGGTTTGGTTGAAGTTAGACACTAACACCGTTGCATGCCGACTCAGTGATCTAGAGGTTCAGCGCTCGCGCGTGAGGCTGACATGTCCTGGGTTCGAATCTCACGAGGTGAGATCGTGGATGCGCAATGCTGACAAGTCAAACAATAGGACGAAACGGTCGTCCAGTGCTTCCAGGTTTTCCATGGTGGTCTAGCTTCAATTGACTCATATTTTTTATTTATTTATTTGTTTATTTATAATACATTAAAACGAACAAGTGCAACTGAGTTTGTTAAGTATACTGTCAGGGGATATTTATATTATATATGAAACTTTGGCTATCAGTTAAATAGTTTTACTTCAAACTTACTGAATTTAGTCATTCCATATACCAAAGTTCGCATTGAGAATTAAATTATTGATGCGTTTTTATAATTCAATTACTAGAAAGAATGTCAAAGGCTGAAGTATTTAATCACGATTATTATGAATAAAATTATGTTAATACCGAAAGTATAGATGCTGTCATTAAGTTGTCATCGTCAACCAACAACAGAAACGTTATAACCTCCAATAATGACAACAGTTGCTGATGTTAATAATCAGTTTTATTGAATTATTGTGAATAGTCCTGTTTAGTTTATTAGTGATTTTCATAGAATCTATTTTTCATAATTAAGATTTGTCTACTATTAACAACAATTTAGTAAATTCCAATAAATAAAGATGACATTAATAATTATAATAATAACGATAATAGTAACCGAAATCAACATTCAAATTATATTTTAGGCGGAGATGGATAGTTGTTAACAGAAGAATCCAGGATGCGCATTTCGCCCTATTTAGGACCCATAAGCTGGATTTACCAGCATCACAGAGTTGGTGTACACTCCGGGGCTTGAACCCAGCTCCTTTCTTTTCAAATGTGTTGTGTACTTAGCTACTAAGTCAATAGCTTGTTGAAATGCAGTCATAAACATCAATGGGAAGATTTAAACAAGAAATACAAAAAATGAATTAAAGATTAAATTTACTCCACTGTTCAAGCTAGTGGATATCAGGACTTAGTAACTAAACAGGCAGTGAGATGGAGTTTAAAGCAAACGGCGCTTGGTAACAGTCCCAGAGTAAATATCAACTCGTATCCAAGATCATCCGACTGACGAGTCCCAAATAAGACGAAATGCACATCCTAGATCGCACTGTTATCCATGGCTGCTATCTACTAATAATACTTGTGAGTAATGGAAATATCAAGGAAATCAGCGCAGGATGAACACATTCAAATAAGAGGTCGATCAGTGGGAAGGTACAAACCAATATAAATGAATTGAAATTCAAATTACATTTTAATGCGTCATTACAATTAATAGTACTAGTATAAGCATTATATTCTGTTTTACTATTTTGATAATAACAATTTCTGTTATTTAGTTCTTCTGATAATTAAATTTGTTCATGCAATGAGAAAATAACTAAAAATGAATGGGTAACATATGTTTTGTTTTGTTTTTTTCAAATTAACTCACCAAATTGTTTCATCTTTACTTTTTACAATTCATTTCATAGGTTCATTTACTTAGTAAAGAAACTTAAGGCTTGAGATATGAACTTAAAAATATGAAATATTATACATGTTGCGTTTTATAGGTTTCAGTATCATATCAACCCTTTTATATACCTTATTCCGTCATCATATAGACACATATGTAATGTAACTGTCTTATATCTACACTACTCTGATAAACATTTTACCTAAAACAAAAATTGAGTATATATCATCTTCAATTTACCTGTACTCAATACTATTTATAGATACCTATTTAGTAATAAAACAAAGCAAAGAATACTTAAAGACAAAATTATCACAGATGATAACCGAATCAACTCAAAGGATGTAAATATGTATAATCAATTAAAACATTAAGTTATTAATGAGTTAAGAGAAACTGATAATAGTTTGTGTATCTAATGTTATATGTAGAAAGTTTAAAAAACTATGCAACATTTTAAACAACTTGAATCCATTTGATTGTTTTTGAACATTTCAGTACTGAATAGTCACTTTTAAACTTGGATCACTTTAATTTTTAGCTTATAAAATGTAAATAAATAAAAAAATTAAACTGAATATTTAAAAATACAGGCTAAGACTACTAATTAGTTGAGTGATTAATGTTAGTGACTAATATCCTAGATACCTAAAGGGAAATCTCTCATTTATATTGGTGTATTATTATTATTGTCATTAATTGCTATGGTTTTTGATTAATATATTAAAGCGAGATCATAAAAAACGATTTTAAATATTCATTATATAACAAACAAATAAGCAAATTCAGATAATTGAAAGCGTTAGTCAATTGAAACTAGACCATCATGGAAAACCTGGGAGCACTGGACGACCGTTTCGTCCTATTGTCGGACTCATCAGCAGTGAGCATCCACGATCCCACACTCGCGAGATTCGAACCCAGGCGTGAGACTGGTAGGTCCTGGGCCGTCCACTGCTTCCAGGTTTTCCATGGTGGTCTAGCTTCAATTGACTCATGCTTTCAACTATGCAAATACTAAAGCTCCACAAAAAAACCCTTTTGAGAATAGAAATACATAAATAATCTGTTTTTTATATTAAATTTTATTTTTATTCGTTGTATGTGTCAAGTCTTATAAAATAAAGTGAAAGTATTTTAAGAACTAATAAAATATAAATAAAAGTTTAAAGCAATTAGTCCCTTTGATAAATTTTGATAGTGTAATAAGAAAACGAAGATTATCAGAACTAAATGATATATCAGAGCAATACATTTCGAACAATCTGATCACACATATACTTGTTAAGAACACTTATATATAAAAATAAAAGGTCAACTAGACTGGAAATGGGGGGTAGGAGTAGACAATAATAATAATAATAGTAATAATAATAATAATGTGAAAACATTGAAACCTAATCATTCTGGATAATAAGCCAATATTACCAGGGTAGGTTTAAGGTGAGAATAAAGTGTTTTTGAATACACAAAGGGGGTTTGAATTTTCGTATGGCTAAGGCTTCAATAAACCCTTAGTATGCGACCTTTTACACTTTTATACAGCACCACAAAAGCCGAGTTAAGATTAATCTTATACCCTTTTCCAATTATATATTTGACAATAGAGGATGATGGATCAGGTCATTTGATTCTATTTGTTTCTGCAACCATTTTGGTACATGTTCACACATCCTATCCAGAGTTATTAGGTGTCAATGTTTTCACATTATTATTATTATTATTGTCTACTCCTACCCCCCATTTCCAGTCTAGTTGACCTTTTATTGTTATATATAAGTATTCTTAACAAGTATATGTGTGATCAGATTGTTCGAAATGTATTGCGCTAATATATCACATAGTACTGATAATCTTCGTCTTCTTATTACACTATCGAAAAAATAAAAGAATATTGAGTAGATATTTTAACATGATATAAAATGCAAGACTATAATTTATGAACGAACTAATTAGATTTAGGTTGACAGGTCATGGAATTGGATGCAGAATTTATTTGTCCATTTAGCTAAATATCATTTTGACATTTTAGCTGATGTCAGTTGGTGATGAAAATTTTAAATCTAATTCTTAAACCTAACCATTAACTGTAAATTATTATTATAATTCCTCGCACCTGTTTATAATTCATATTTAATCTTATTTAGTCGGTGGACATTCTGAAGGTCACTTTAGCGTCGCTCAAATGTCGTTCATAAATTATAGTGTCACCGACTTTTTCTTGGTGTACATAGCTATGTAAGACGAAACAACCGGATATTTTGATAAAGTTTTGTTTTCTGAGCTGAATGGTTTAATCGTGGAGCTTTCATCGTCTTTATGAACGACATCATCAGCACAGACTTCGGGTAGAAGCCAACAGTATATTGTTACATTGTTATGAACGTTGTATTAGTTGATGAAAAAATTCAAAGTGTGACTGGTTCTCATAAATATACTAACAAAACAAATCCTAATAGTTTATCATGTTTATTCAGAATACATTTTTATGTCTTTTGCTTGATTCCAAATAAACAGTTCACCTAATTAGAATACCGTTTCGAAATCGTGTTATAATTATTTTGAGGAATATAAATTTTTTATTTTAAGATTTGAAGAAAAGAACTTTAGCGATGATCAAGTTTATTTCAGTTAGCTTTCAGTCATAGTTTTACAACACTATATATAACTGACCGGTAATTCAGTGATAACCGATGTTATGTTTGCCCAGCGTTTATCGATTTTTTTCGAATAATGTAAAATATGATCACTATTTTAAATGATTCAACGTTGAGTGCACCATTTTTAGATTTTCAGTTGCTGGTAATATTTGATAGGGAATCCCAGATAAGGGTTTTTTGGTCATCAACGCTAGCCATGAAGGTATGCCCTCAATCTTGGGGAGAATAGTGCTACCAATTGAATCCTGGCCCTTGCTGACCGACATCATCGTCGGAGACATTACCGCTGAGTTTTTCGAATAGCCGTTATAATTGTTAATTAAATTAATCACAATTAAATGATGGTGACTCAGTTAACAGTATTGCAAATTCTAAAAATTTGTTGAACTAATAATGAATGAATAAGAAGCTAATTTCAAAGATCAAAGCGTAGAAGATAATGGTCATATTGAAGATACAATCTAATAAGTAATTTAAAATTGTCTGCAATAAAGTTAGTATATAAGATATTAGGTAGTAACGTAATTGAAAAAAGGGATTGTTAGAAGATCGAACATTGTAATTACAAACACATCGCGTTCACTAATCAACGCTTTGATTCTGTAAGGAAAAAGTAGTTATAAATTTGACCCTTATTATAAACTTGTTTGGCATTTTCGTTCAAGACAATTGACGGCGTCATAAATAATCTCAAGTCTGTTAACTATTCCACTACGTGATGGCATTGTATAAGTATTGTGTCATAATGGAAAATTTGTTCTTTTATTTCGTTGTATTTTCCTGTTCTTACGACATAAATTTGTTGAAATTAACGTTTTTTCCCACAAAATCCAAGTATTTCTAGGTACCTTTCCATAAGTAGAGAAGTAATCCGTGAAATATCTATTGACAATGAACCAAACTGAAGAAAATTGGATGTAATAAAAAATGTCACTGTAGTGCCGTGCTTCATTAATCGTTCACCCTGATGACCGTTATTATACCAATCTTAACGGTGTATAAAATCAGAAGGCAAAAGGAAGCGGCAACTACATTTTTATTGATGAATGATGCAGACCAGAAAGCTGTAAGCACATGCACAAGTGTAAGCGAGCGAAGCAAAGATGATGCATAGTGGAGATGGCGGGGAAGCCAACTCGTGAGCGAAGCGAAAATAATGCATATTGGAGATGGCGGGGAAGCCAACTCATTTTAAGCAAGCGTTAATCAGTATTTAGAGCAGACAAAAATGAATGACAGACATATGATGAATAGGATACGAAGGGTACACATATGCGCTCATATAAAAATATAGTCAAGGTTAATAAGCGAATAATGAACAAGATCAAAATATGACTCATAATGTATAGGTGAATTAGCTTGGCCAGAAGCTAGAATAAAGTATATGGGCTTAACATAACAACCGATACTACATCATTACCTCATTCCAGCTGAGTGGCCTAAATATTATGAACTATCCAAGAAATCTAAAATTCCTAGTTTTTATTCTTTGGAGAGATGAACACATTGTACAACTGACTAAGTTCATACTATAACTAAATCATTGACTAGTTTTTCTCAGTTTTTAATAGTTCTTTGGTTGATATCATTGAGTGACAAAACCCACTTATCTAAAGGCATTTATTAACAAAATATTATTGTATTTCTTCTAATTATAGTATCCGCTATCTGAATGATTTAATAACAAATATTTTACCGAGATCATTCTCCAATGCATTTAAACGACCAGTAGGTAAATGTAAAAGTGCATCGCCTACAACAGTAAATGATCATCATATAGAAAAACTGATTGATTCTTTCAGATTTGATAATTTTGAATCGGAAAGTCAACATTCAGAAAAATCTGCTTCTGATTTCTTAACAACTAATGAAAGTTCTCCAGTTCTCAATTATCATAATGTACCAACAAGAAGTCAACTACAACAATGGGAAAAATCATTTGATAAGCTCTTAGCTGATACAGGTATAAAAATGTATTTGTGATTAATTACTGTATGTCATTCAATATACCTGAAAATATTTATGTCAGTTAGATAATTTGTTGCGTATAGTTAAAATTGATATACAACACAAACGTTTACATGCAATGTTAAACGTTTTTGTGTTATATGAAAAAGATCAGATAGAGACTTAAAACTTGAGGATCCTGAATTTAATCCTTGGCAAGGTTATCAATAAATACCACTGTGAGATTCTTTACTAAGATGAAACAGCGGTCAGGTTATTCAGGTTCTCACTGGTTGTTTAACCAAGGTTATTCCATGATGTAAAGTATTAGAACCAACAATTTTCACAAACTATTCATATTTGTAAAAATTGTTACAGACTGACTGATTGTAGTCAAATGAATTGAATATAAATAATTGCATTCCCTGTAAAATGAAGACACATGTCCATTTGACTACTCTTTAAAAAAAGTCAAATTTTCTAAATATTTCAAAAATACCTATTTCGAAACTAAGTGTTGCAGTCTTGTAAACAAAGATGGATAGTGGCTAGCAGTGAAATCCACGACGCGCGTTTCATCCTATTTGGGAATCGTCAGCTGGATGCACCTGCATCTCAGAGTTGATGTTCACTCTGGGACTCGAACCCAGTACCGTTCGCTTCAAACGCCATAGCGTTATCCACTCAACTACTGAGTTCTGATAGCCACTTGCTTGTGAAATGGGGTGAAGTTTAAATTCACTTAGTATTACTTGTTGCAGTGTTTTGTTTCCATAGCTAAACATAAAGATATTTTGAGTTACATAATGAAAATCTTTAAATTTTAACCTTTATTTAAATTACCTATAACACATAAATTCTAAAATAATCGGATGATGCAAATGAAGCGTTTAACATGAATTGTTAATATTATGAATAAAAAGAAAACATGAACCAGTTATGTGATTATTATTGTAAGGCTAAACAAGTATGAAAATTTTATCAGAATAAAATAAATGTGATCATTCACTGGATTCTTTTCACCTACATTTTACTTAACTCTTTGAAATCAAAGAGTTGAAGCTGAATGTAAGCAAACAGAAGGATGCAGTTGTCAGCTTTATATCGTTCTTTGGAAATCAGTTCCCCAAGTTTCAATGAGTTACGATAGTGATAGACTAATATATGCTAGTAATCTGTTATTATCGTTTATTACACAGTATGACGTCTTTCATGTCCTATGGTCTTTCAAATATCACGTTATAAAATAGTCAATTAAAACTGCGATCTATATGACCTTAGTCCTATATCAAACCAATGACGCATTGACTAGTACGAGCAGCCTAGACTCAACTCAAAGTCCATATTGGTTCTCCTTGCTTTGCTCTGCCCGTTGAGTCCGGAACACTATCTCAGCCCCCACTGTATGGGTCGTGTACTTCAAACATACTTGGTTTATCAGCAAGCAAAGCAAACCTCCTCCTAGCATAAAATGAGCAATAATAAATATAAAAGATTAAGCTAATGGTGGCTGAGAGTGTAAGGGACTGTAAATTATAGATTGGGAAGTAACATAAGAATAGTAAATCGTATAATAGTAGCCAATAGGTCAAATGAAAGCTTATAATGTGAGAAACATAAATACATATAATCTAGTTACTTAATAGTTATACAGTAATAATGTATGTATAATAACAGTCAATAAATAATTAATAGAAGTTACCCATAATTTAATCTTCCTCGGACACAAGGACGTCATACACTAACCAGTTTCAGTGTCAATAAACAATAAACTTTAGCATAGTCATTTGTTTGAAATTCTTAAAATATTTGCAATTCGTCAGTTTCAAAGTTTTGAGATATGATATTTCAATCTTACAACCAGAGCGACAATTTTTATAGGTACATGGAATGTGCGAACAATGTGGGAGACCGGAAGAGTCTTTCAAATTGCTGCAGAAATGAGAAAATACAACCTGGAGGTTCTTGGAATCAGCGAAACACATTGAAAGCAGGTTGGACAACAACGACTGTCTTCAGGAGAACTTCTGTTATACTCCAGTCATGAAGAAGAAAATGCCCCACATACACAAGGAGTTGCATTGATGCTGTCCAGAAAAGCGCAGGATGCACTTGTTGGATGGGAATCCCATGGACCAAGGATCATCAAAGCCTCCTTCAAAACAAAGAGAAAGGGCATTACAATGAACGTCATTTCGTGCTATGCGCCTACCAACGACTACGATTAAGACACTAAAGACTAATTCTACGATAGGCTGCAGTCGATCTTCTAGAAGTGCCCAACCAAGGACCTGACCATTCCGATGGGAGATTTCAATACCAAGGTTGGAAAGGACAACAGTGGATATGAAGACGTCATGGGACAACATGGACTGGGAGAAAGGAACGAAAATGGTGAGAGATTTGCAAACCTATGTACCTTCAATAAACTGGTCATAGGTGGCACCATATTCACACACAAAAACATACACAAAGCCACTTGGATTTCACCGGATCACACTACACAAAATCAAATCGACCATATCGGCATCAACAAAATGTTCAGGAGGACGATGGAGGATGTGAGAACCAGAAGAGGAGCTGATATAGCATCCGATCATCATTTGCTGGTCGCCAAGATGAAACTAAAACTCAAGAAGCACTGGACAATGGCGCGGACAACATCACAAAAGTTTAATACGGCCTTTCTTCGAGATGCTGACAAACTCAACAAATTCAACATAGCCCTCAGCAACAGGTTCCAAGCCTTTCATGATCTACTCAATGGAGAGGGAACTACAATGGAGAGCAACTGGAAAGGTATCAAGGAGGCAATCGTTTCAACATGTCAGGAGGTTCTGGGCCAAAAGAAGCACCATCACAAGGAATGGATCACTGTTGGTACATTGGATAAAATTGAAGAGAGGAGGAACAAGAAGGCAGCAATCAACATCTGGAGGAAAGCACGGGATACAGTGGACAGGCAGGATGCAGCTTGACGATTTAGACTTCGCGGATGATCTGGCTCTTCTATCACTAACGCAACAACAAATGCAGGAGAAAACGACCAGTGTAGCAGCAGCCTCAGCAGCAGTAGGTCTCAATATAAACAAAGGGAAAACCAAGACTTTCCCATTCAATACAATATGCACCAATCAATTTACACTTGACGGAGAAGCTTTGTAAGATGTGGAAACCTTTACATATCTGGGCAGCATCATTGATGAACACGGTGGATCAGATGCAGATGTAAGTGCGCGGATCGGCAAAGCAAGAGCAGCGTACCTACAACTGAAAAACATCTGGAGCTCAAAACAATTGTCAACCAACACCAAGGTTAGAATTTTCAATACAAACGTGAAAACAGTTCTACTGTATGGGGCTGAGACGTGGAGAACTACGAAAGCCACTATCCAGAGGATACAAGTGTTTATTAACAGCTGTCTACGCAATATACTTCGGATCCGATGGCCAGACACTATCAGCAAGAAGTTACTGTGGGAGAGAACAAACCAGATTTTAGCGGAGGAAAAAATCAGGAAGAAGCACTGGAAGTGGATTGGGCACACCTTGAGGAAATCAGCTAATTGCATCACAAGACAAGCCCTCACATGGAATCCTGAAGGTCAAAGGAGAAGCGGAAGACCAAAGAACACATTACGCCGAGAAATAGATACAGACATGAGAAGAATGTACAAGAACTGGATAGAACTAGAAAAGAAGGCCCAGGACAGAGTGGGTTGGAGAAAGCTGGTCGGTGGTCTATGCTCCATTGGGAGTAACAGGCGTAAGGAAGTAAAGTAAGTAATTTCAATCTCAACTGATAGCTAATGGAACTTAAACTGAAGTAAGAAATGTGTACATTAGTAAATGACTAAATCTCCGTCATAAATTTCGTCATCTATCCAATAAATACATTAAATATCAAGAACGCATGTGCTTCATCAAAGGAACCAAGTAAGAATGGAATGTTATCAAAAAGCTATATTTTCAGAGGTCGTTCGAGTTTCACTGTGTACTGACAACTGTCTTACCGCTTTTCTACAATATTATCAATAAGTATGTGGATTGCTGTAGCATCTATATATCTGTAGCATCTATCTATATATCTCAAAGTGAATTAAATTAGAAAGCTGTATTATTAACTTAAGTTTTTCATTTAGTATTTTAGTCAATGACATTAGTTGGACTGTTAGCATCTTTTCAATTGTTTAAAACATCAAATGCTCAAAAATTTTATGCTGAATAGAATCTCAAACATGTCAGTTATTTCTCAAAATTCACTGATTAGTAAGTAATTTTATGCATAATTTAATTTTACAGATGGTTTGTCTCAGTTTCATCACTTTCTGAGATCAGAATACAGTGAAGAGAATATTGAGTTTTGGTTAATTTGTGAACTGTATAAACATCTACCACAAGAAGATCTTGGTGAAGAATCACGAAGAATCTATCGTCTTTACTTAGCACCACATTCACCACATGAGGTAAATCATGAACTAAAATTAATTTTGCTATTTGTAATACATGAATATAAAAACACTTGTGTTTTATTACTGGTGAGTACGAAAAGTATCAATTGGATGTTGGTCGACTGGTCGAAAGAAAAACGTTTCCTGTTTCATAGTAACACAATGGGTTACTTTGGTTATTTTAGGTTGATTGATTTACGATATTTAGTCAGTGTACTTATTTTGTTTTAAAAGTCAAAATGTGTGTTTCATATGCTTTAAGGTCATAATAAAATAAGCTGGGAATGAAAACACTTTTATTTTCTTAATATTACTAAGCATTCGGTAATTGGTTGACTTTCTTGAACATTTCAAACAGCATAGTATTTGATTCATAATAAACTTGGTTTATTGAAATCCTCCAGCGTCTCTTTCTAATTTCCTCTTCATCCGGAAGCTCGTTCATTCTCTTCCATAGTAGGCTGTTGCGGATGGTATCCGGTCAACAGACATTGAGTATCTTGTGTAGACAATTGTTCATAACTACTTGTGCCATTCTGATGATGGTTATGGTAGTTCTCCAAGTTTCAGTTCCATACAGTAGAATTGTCCTGAGAAATTTTGTATTTATCAGTCAATCTTTCTAGATAAATTTAAATTTGAACCATTAAATTCCGATCATTGAGAATCTTTACCCATATTTCATAGTTGGATCAATTTTTCCAGGATATAAGATTGAGATCTTCATCTTTTGATACATAATAATTTTCAGTCAAGATGGCACTAATTAGGCGAACCTTTTAAGAATATACAGATATTTATTCTAACAGAAAAGATTAATGAGTAGTTATCGCGTTGCTTATAGGGAATGAGCGAATTCATTTTAAACTATATATGATCATTCACTCAGGAAGTCCTCTACTTTTGAATCATTAATACCACATTTCGAAAGTACTTAAATATTATTTATTGATCGAACGTGTGTTTTTAATGTGTTAATTTACGACCGTGGGAAGATCCATACAACTTCCTTCAGTTTAATATGCAGTTCATCAAAAACAACAACAACAATGTTGTATTAGATCATTCACACCTCTGTTTATATACTCTGTGTTGCACATAATGAAAAAGACTTTAAATATTGAAAAATCAAAATTATCTTGCTTTTTTTCAAAGGTTAATTTGGATTCGGAAACTCGGAATCAAACGATCGCTAACATATCGAATCCAACTAATGAATCGTTTGCTTTAGCTCAACAAACTATTCAAGGATTAATGAATAAAGATTCCTATCAGCGGTTTTTACGTTCTTCATTTTATTTTGAATTGAAACAATTAGTTTGGCATACATATCCACAAAATGAGGAACCTACAAAGTCAGAATCTAATATAATTGATACTGTTATGTCAGATAATCAAACTCAATATTTCCTATCAAGAGATCCAGTCACTGACAATACATCCAGTCCATGTTCTGAAGAAGAACATGTGAAGGTAGGTATATAATTAACGAAATATTTTCAATAAGATATCGACATTGTTTCTAGGAGAATAATGTTTTATAATGTAGCTTGATTGTGCTGTACTTTGACGAGAATATTTTTCAATAACCGTTTGAATGAAATTTTAATTTGTCAACTGAACACACATTAGTTAAACAGTACATTGGTTAAACTATCATGGGTATACTACACAAAAGTGTAATATAAACTGAAAACCAGGTCAAAATATTCAGTCAGTGTAATTCAGAGTAACCTAATAGATAACAGAAAATTTAGTTGAATCTAATAATCAGTTTGATAAACTTATGATATTTCTTTCCTAATTAACTAACAATGATCACACCACAGTTTTACACTAATTAGTTAAAAAATTATGATTAAATATCATGTTGCTTAGTTATTAGGGCTGATCGAAGTCAGTTGAATAATTTGTAAGATGGATGATAAATTAATTGAAAATGCATAGTGACAGATTTTTGTTTGGTGTTAAGAATTCCACTCAAGTTACCTGGTAGTACACTTTTAGAAAAGAATGGTAAACACCAGAAAGGAATGTAGATCGTTAAATTGGATTACATATAATACTGTGTCCTAGTGAGTACGTTAAGGTCTTATGATTTACCCAGTACTGATTGTTACGGGAGAACTGAAGACATTTGGCTGATTAAAACCTTTTTACTGTACATCAAATTTACTGTGTTTTTGGATGTGTTTGTTTTACTTATCCCTTGGACTTGTTTGTTTATATCATTATTTTCGGACATTTTGGTTTCTTTTGTCATTGGTTTGGCATTTGGGAGTTTTTGCTCCGGGAACCTACAAAATTGAAGGTTTGTTTTGTAATTGTTATAATTATTGTTGTTAGAACGACTTTGGTCGATTATTTGTGAATCGCAAATAAACTTGGTATCTAATTTGGAGTTTCGGATCTCTTGCCTACTTGGGTTCGTGATTTGCGAATATCGACGGACAGTACTTCAATAGTTGGAACAGGCAAAATCTCATAATTGGACGCAACACTGATTGTATGATTTTTATTTAAATACCACTTTTAGAGACATGTACATTTATCATTTACATGAGGACCAAGACTCCATCACTAAAGCAAATAGTTTATTTTCGATAAATGTTTAAGATAATGTCTAGCTTGGATGTATTTACTGTTAAGCCAGTATATAAAGATTATGGAAAATAAAATCAACATAGAAGCGGTAAATGTGGTCCTTAATCATTAGAATGTTACGAAGTGTGGATACCTTGTCTTATAATTAACATTATTATTTCCTATTCATTCCTTACTTTCATACGCCTGTTACCACCAGTGGAGCATAGGTCATCGACCAGCATTCTTCAACCCACTCTGTCCTTGGCCTTCCTTTCTAGTTCTATCCAGTTGTTATTCGCTCTTCTAACATCTGTTTCCATTTCTCAGTGTTATGTGTTCTTTGGTTTTCCTCTTCTCTTTTGACCTTCAGGATTCCATGTGACGGCTTGCCTTGTGACACAGGTGGCTGCTTTCCTCTATGTGGTCCTATCCACTTCCAACGTTTCTTCCTGATTTCTCCCTCCACTGAAATCTGGTTTGTTCTCTCCCACAGTACGTTGTTATTGATAATGTCTGGCCAACGGATTCGAAGTATTTTGCGTAGACAGCTGTTAATAAACACTCTTATACTCGGGATGGCGGGTTTCGTAGTTCTCCAGGTTTCCGCCCCACACAGTAGAATTGTCTTAAAATTTCTATTGAAATTCCTGACTTTGACATCGGTTGACAGTTATTTTGAGTTCCAGATGTCCTTCCATTGTAGATGTGTTGCTTTTGCTTTGCCGATCCGCGCCTTCGCATGTATCTGCATCAGATTCACCGTGTTCATCAATAATATTGCCTAGATATGTAGAGGTTTGTACATCCTCCCAAGCCTCTCCGTCACGTGTGATTTGATTAGTGCATGTTGTGTTGTGTCGGAGGAACTCGGTTTCCTGTTTGTGTATGTTGAGACCTACTGCTATTGAGGCTGCTGCTACACTGATCGTCCTCTCCTGCATTTGTTGTTGCGTGTGTGATAGAAGAGCCAGATCACCTGCGAAGCCTAAATCGTTTAGATGCATCCCAGATGTCCATTGTATCCCGTGCTTCCCTCCAGATTTTCACATCTTCATGATCCAGTCGATCACCAGGAGAAAGAGAAAGAGTGAGAGTAAACAACCTTGACTGACTCTGATCTTTCATTCGAACTAGTGAGTGAGCAGTTCTCCATGGACGATTTCGCAGTTCAACCCATCATAAGAACTCCGTATGATGTTGACTATCTTCTCAGGTACTCCGTATTGTCGAAGAAAACTCTATAGAGTTGTCGTGTAAACACTATCAAATGCTTTCTCGTAGTCAATGAAGTTGATGTGGAGTGATGAATTCTATTCAATCGACTGTTCCACAATGATCCGTAGAGTTGGTCGCCAAACGATCGATCCTTACGGAATCCAGGCTGTTGACCTCGAAGTTGGGCATCTACGGAGTCCTTCATTCTGTTTCATAACACCCTGTTGAAGGATGCACGTTTCTACCTATTTGGGACGCGTCCTGGATTCCACTGTTGTTACTCTGTGAAAGAAGCAAACCAAATAAATAAACTAAAAAATGTATGCAAATAAATATCCGAATAAACAAATAAACAGATAAATACAACTTGATAGTGATCACTTTAAACAAGTACAATATAATAAATGAAACATGATTACTACATTCAAGATAATAATCAGAATGAATGGAATAATCAGTTGATTTCCATTTGATGGAAACACAGATGGTGAAATATCGTATCTCTTTTGTTTCTCTCTTGAAATTAGTTTCATGGAAATAAGTAAAAGAAAAAAATGACAATGATGATGACAAACATTGGTGATCTTAGATAACGATAACAAATATGATTCAATTCTAAGATAATCATACATATTTACATGATAATTTAATGTTAACAGTATACAAGATTCAGATTATTGGATAAAGTGGAATAAAAATTAGGGAAAACAATAATTAAACACAGTTTTGGATAAAAAGGGACTGAAGTAATTAAAAACAATATTCCATTTAATACATATGGCTTTATTGTATCATCTCTTATATTATACAACTAGATAAACTGTGTTCAAATGATTGTTAACTCATTAAAACTCTTTTCGTAATCTTGTTGTGACTGGTGCTATGTCGAACACATCCAGGTTATTCCAGTTTCTGAACAGAATAGTCTATTCCGTTTTCCCACAACATCCTGAATTTCACTATTGGTCATCATAGTCTCTCCATATAATGTTTAGCCTCATATAATAAATGTTTACTGATGAGAATTCTTAACAAAATATAAATCTAATGTCTGATATTCCTATGCTTAAAATGATCCATTTTTGTTTTATTCACTCTCAGGAATTCCGGCGATCGTCACCAGCAGCATATTCAAACACTATTTTCCCAAAACAAACTGCGATTTCACATGAAACCAATTTAGAAAGTGATATTCAGTCGTCGAAAACAATATCTTCCCCGTTACTTGATTGTACTGTGTCCAGTTTATTTCACAAGGATATAGAGGATGATGAAGAGTTATCACTTCATGAGAACATAATTGAACATCGTACTCCCAATCAAACGAATGATAATTTATCTGTTCACGAATTACCAAATTCTGTTCACACTGAAGCTGCACCACATTCTCCTAAACTTTGTTATACTGGATATACATTGTCCAATACTGATTGTTATAAATTAAAACAAAATATTAGAGCAGAGTTATAATTTTAAACTGACTAGTTGATATGATTCATTTTTTACATCGCCATCATAGTAAAACTGTTTTTTGTAATGAAAAAAAAAAAACTACAATCCGAGAGAGATTTTCATTCATTAACTGTGATATGTTTTATTGTAATAACTTTCACCTAAAATAATTTCAATCTTCGTTGAAATATCACAGAAGTGTTTATATCCTAATACGTGTACTTGTAAACGAAGTGTTCAGTCCAAACAAGGATACTACAGCTCGTTTCATTCAGTCCATTTTTAATTGAAACTGATTTTCCGTACATTACATCAAACAGACAATCTGGAAAAAAGGATTTTATAATTCTTTTTCAAACATTTAATCATCATTAATTCCAGTAATAATCTGTAATAGACAAAGAAGTATTTGATGATCTTCATTGTTAAAATTGTAGGTTAACAAGATGTGCTTCAGCACCAATTTATCTCGTGAAAGCAACTGTTTAATCAGTCAGTTGAACGTGAGTATCAGATGAAAATTATAGATTTCCAAAGAGATATTACTTGATGAGAAAATGAGTAGTCTGGATAAACAAGATAAGATAAAAAGATTTGTTTTACACAAACAATTTGACTACATAAATTAATCCAACCGCTTTGATTTTGTAGTCGGCTGTGTTTTTGTTGATATTGTATGTGGCATAATGTGAAATGATGTTTGGGTGTTTGTTGGAGAGTGTTTGTCATTCTGTGATGAGTCTTGTTCTCGAAATTAATCAAATATGCCTAGATATCGCACGATTTCTGTTAATCTAGACATCAACTGAATGTCAAAAGTTTGCATACTTTGGAAAACAATTCAACTCTTAGCATATCATCATATTGCAAACCACTCAATATTAATCAAAATTATTATGAACGTCATTTGTCAAAGACGTAAATGTTTAAGTGATATTTCCTAATGAATTGAAAATAACATCAAACAGTTTGCTATATAACTCCGCCTGTAGCTCCTCCAGGGGCTACTGCCGGTCCCAAGCCCGGGTAAAGGAGAAGGGTTGGGCATGGGGTTAACGACCCCATCTCGTAGAAAATCAACTCGCTAAAAAAACGCTAACCAGAAAAAATCATTCAAACCATTCAAACTCTGCTCTGGGAGTAGAAGGAATAATTATGACGTCTCATGATGAAAGCCGAGTTCATTCGGAAGTCATGAGGCCGATGCACCTTCTTACAACCAGAGCAACAATTTTTATAGGTACATGGAATGTCCGGACAATGTGGGAGACCTTCAGAGTATTCCAAATTTCTGCGGAAATGAGGAAATACGACCTGGAAGTGCTTGGAATCAGTGAAACACATTGGACGCAGGTTGGACAACAACGACTATCTTCAGGGGAACTTCTGTTATACTCCAGTCATGAAGAAGAAAATGCCCCACATACACAAGGAGTGGCACTGATGCTGTCTAGAAAAGCACAAAATGCACTTATAGGATGGGAATCTCATGGACCGAGGATCATCAAAGCCTCCTTCAGAACAAAGAGAGAGGGCATTACAATGAACATCATCCAATGCCATGCGCCGACCAACGACTACGATGAAGACGCTAAAACCAATTCTACGATAGGCTGCAGTCAATCTTCGAGAAGTGCCCAACCAAGGACCTGACCATTCCGATGGGAGATTTCAATACCAAGGTTGGAAAGTACAACAGTGGATACGAAGACGTCATGGGACAATATGGACTGGGAGGAAGGAACGAAAATGGTGAGAGATTTGCAAACCTATGTACCTTCAATAAACTGGTCATAGGTGGCACCATATTCACACACAAAAACATACACAAAGCCACTTGGATTTCACCGGATCACACTACACAAAATCAAATCGACCATATCGGCATCAACAAAATGTTCAGGAGGACGATGGAGGATGTGAGAACCAGAAGAGGAGCTGATATAGCATCCGATCATCATTTGCTGGTCGCCAAGATGAAACTAAAACTCAAGAAGCACTGGACAATGGCGCGGACAACATCACAAAAGTTTAATACGGCCTTTCTTCGAGATGCTGACAAACTCAACAAATTCAACATAGCCCTCAGCAACAGGTTCCAAGCCTTTCATGATCTACTCAATGGAGAGGGAACTACAATGGAGAGCAACTGGAAAGGTATCAAGGAGGCAATCGTTTCAACATGTCAGGAGGTTCTGGGCCAAAAGAAGCACCATCACAAGGAATGGATCACTGTTGGTACACTGGATAAAATTGAAGAGAGGAGGAACAAGAAGGTAGCTATCAATATCAGCCGAACAAGAGCAGAAAAAGCCTAGGCACAAGCCGAATACACAGAGGCAAACAAGCAAGTGAAGAGGAGCATCAGGACCGACAAACGTAAATATGTGGAAGATTTAGCGATGAAAGCAGAAAAGGCTGCACGAGAGGGAAACATGAGACAACTGTATGATACAACAAAGAAACTTGCTGGAAATTACCGTCAACCAGAAAGACCAGTGAAAAGCAAGGAAGGCAAAGTAATCACCGACATTGAAGAACGACGAAACAGGTGGGTAGAACAATTCAAGGAACTCTTGAATCGACCAGCTCCACTGAACCCACCCAACATCGAAGCAGCACCCACAGACCTCCCAATCAATGTTGGCCCACCAACAATTGAAGAGATCAGCATGGCCATTAGACAAATCAAGAGTGGTACAGCAGCGGGACCAGACAACATCCCGGCAGAGGCACTGAAAGCAAATGTAACAGCAACTGCCAAGATACTCCACATCCTCTTCGGTAAGATTTGGGACGAAGAACATGTACCAATAGACTGGAAAAAAGGACTTCTGATTAAGATACCAAAGAAAGGCGATCTGATCAAGTGCGACAACTACAGGGGCATCACTCTTCTCTCAATACCAGGAAAAGTCTTCAACCGAGTATTGTTAAACAGGATGAAGGATTCCATGGACGCTCAACTTCGAGATCAACAAGCTGGATTTCGTAAGGATAGATCGTGCACAGATCAAATCGCAACACTACGTATTATTGTGGAACAATCAATCGAATGGAATTCATCACTGTACATCAACTTCATCGACTACGAGAAGGCATTTGATAGCGTGGACAGGACGACACTATGGAAGCTTCTTCGACACTACGGCGTGCCTGAGAAGATAGTCAACATCATACGGAACTCCTATGATGGTCTAAACTGCCAAATAGTGCATGGAGGACAACTAACCGACTCGTTTGAAGTAAAGACCGGTGTTAGGCAAGGTTCACTACTATCACCCTTTCTCTTTCTCCTGGTGATCGACTGGATTATGAAGACGTCAACATCTGGAGGAATACACGGGATACAGTGGACAGGCAGGATGCAGCTTGACGATTTAGACTTCGCGGATGATCTGGCTCTTCTATCACTAACGCAACAACAAATGCAGGAGAAAACGACCAGTGTAGCAGCAGCCTCAGCAGCAGTAGGTCTCAATATAAACAAAGGGAAAACCAAGACTTTCCCATTCAATACAATATGCACCAATCAATTTACACTTGACGGAGAAGCTTTGTAAGATGTGGAAACCTTTACATATCTGGGCAGCATCATTGATGAACACGGTGGATCAGATGCAGATGTAAGTGCGCGGATCGGCAAAGCAAGAGCAGCGTACCTACAACTGAAAAACATCTGGAGCTCAAAACAATTGTCAACCAACACCAAGGTTAGAATTTTCAATACAAACGTGAAAACAGTTCTACTGTATGGGGCTGAGACGTGGAGAACTACGAAAGCCACTATCCAGAGGATACAAGTGTTTATTAACAGCTGTCTACGCAATATACTTCGGATCCGATGGCCAGACACTATCAGCAAGAAGTTACTGTGGGAGAGAACAAACCAGATTTTAGCGGAGGAAAAAATCAGGAAGAAGCACTGGAAGTGGATTGGGCACACTTTGAGGAAATCAGCTAATTGCATCACAAGACAAGCCCTCACATGGAATCCTGAAGGTCGAAGGAGAAGCGGAAGACCAAAGAACACATTACGCCGAGAAATAGATACAGACATGAGAAGAATGTACAAGAACTGGAAAGAACTAGAAAAGAAGGCCCAGGACAGAGTGGGTTGGAGAAAGCTGGTCGGCGGCCTATGCTCCATTGGGAGTAACAGGCGAAAGTAAGTAAGTAAATAAGTTTGCTATATCCCTCTGGACAGTGTTCTGGATTATAAGTAGAACGGAATAAAGAGCTTGATCTTCGTACAAACCTGAAGGAACATGAATTTTCAAAATAAACTACATCATGAAATCACATGTGAAGCAGTTTAAGGGCCGAGTGGTTGAAACTAATCCGGAATTGAGAAGAATTCAACAGTTGTAGGTTACGATGTGATTACGTACACGTGCTACGTAATCCCTTCATATTAATTCAGGTCAAAAATGAATAAAACATAAATATGTTGAATTGACTTTTGTTTTCGAAAATGTAGGTGTTGTGATTCGCTCAATCATCAGTGTTCAGTAAGTTGAAAATAGGTGAGAAAAAGACATTCTCAAAAGCTTCAGTGAATTCTAATTTCTCTCCCTTCACATTTAAAAGGATGCATTTCATTCTGATAATAAGGATAATGAAAACACTGTGTGAATGGGTTGATTTCTATGGCATGAGTGATTGTAATGAACGAAGACATAGGTGGGGACAATCGATTTTCTATTTCATACAAACTTACAGACTATCTTGGTAAAATATGATAACCACACATTAAATGCTTCATTTGCAAATCTTACATCATTGTCCTTTACGTTATGTCTAATAGTTCTTATTCACAATTCCTTTCTATTTCGCTTTCTACTGCCAGCCATATAACTTTCGATTGGTGTTACATTCTGTTTATTACTGTCGACCTAAGTAGCATACACCACAATATGAGTGGTGTGGAGTTAAACGGCGTCGGATGTGAGACAGTTACCCACCGATGACAATGCAAGATGGTCACGCAATATCATGAATTGGTTGGAGTGAGACGTAGTTCTCGTCATACAATGGAGATCCATTACCAACACATTGACATATAACAAGTATATAAATATTGGCATTATATATATGAAATTGTTTATCACTTCTGTTATCGATTACGTTGTGTAGAGGTCACAGGTTTCGAGCAATCCACATTCAAATAGGAAGATGAACTGAATGAACTAGCTTTCTTTGAATGCTTAGTTATAAGGGATTATTACGGTAGTCTTAATCTAGAAATGCTTCGAAAACTGACACATTTGGATCGGTATATCGACTTTGCTCTGAGCATCTATTCAGTGCAAAAATTATTAAAAACATTATATTCTAAGGAACTCGTTAGTTAGAATGAAAGAGAAAATCTAATTCACTTCCACACAAAATTATGTCTACAGATTAGCTTGTTCCAATTTTGATGCTTTCTTCATTGGACAATCTTCCCGTGAGATCTCGACTAGTGCCAACGAAAGCTTAAGTTCCGTGAAATTGGAAAACTTACAGGTCAAATCAGCAGTATCAGTATATGCTAAATCCAATAATCAACAAATTGATATCAAAAACATTGAAATATTTCAGAAGAGTTTTTCCAAACATAACGAGAGGCGAATAGACGAAGAATTTCACCTCATGCTAAATCAATCTCTCCTTTGTGAGAAAGAACGCTTGGATATTCATCCGACCTGGACCGTCTAGCTAAACAACCACATCTGACCTCATTTATTTTCTACACAATCTATATACACACACACACCTAATTTCAACCCTACCACTTCATATTACAAATGCACACATTCTACATACTTATATTCTGAAGCACAAATTAATACAGCGACAGGTCATAAAATTTTTCTACTCATCACAAAATAAATGTAAATCATTCATGTGGGAGGACTAGTTCTAACCAACAAAACAGATTATGTCGATATAAACCGAACTGAGCTTTGAAAGAAGTGCATAAATTTAAACTCCGCCTGTATCTCTTCTAGAGTTACTGCCGGTCCCAAGCCTAGGTAAAGGAGGAGGGTTGGGCATGGGGTAAGCGACCCCATCCCGTAGAAAAACTAACTCGCCTAAAAACGCTGACCAGAAAAAATAATTCAAATCATTTAAACTCTGTCCTCTGAGTTGAAGGAATGA